CCTTTAGGTAAAACTTCATCCACGAAAGAGTTTTTCATCTCTCGAAGATATCTCTCGTCGATCCAGCTTCTTCTTTCATAATTGAATCTTCTTATTACGCGTTCCTTCCCTTCTTCGTTGCTTGAAACGAAGAGGACGTCGAAGAAACGTTTCATTTTCTTTCTCTCTTTCTCTCTTCATTTCTTTCTTTCTTCATCTCTTTCTTTCTCGTTTTCTCTTACCTTTAACAATAGAGAGAGAGAACTTTTGTCCCTTCTACCATTTTCTAACGGCACGTCAGAATAATGTTCCTAACCCTGGGCGGAGTGGAGCAGTCTGTAATTGGACACCACTAATGCATCTCAAGCTCGTAGCTTGAACGTGAAGAGAATTAAGAAGAGAGAGAGAGAGAGAGAAAATAGAAGAGAAAGGGAAGAAGAGATAGAAGAGACAACGAATAAGACGAAGGAGAGAAAGAGAAAGGGAAAGAGAATAGGAGGGAGAGAGAAAAGTAGGCAATAAGGGAATGAATGGAAGAAGATAGCTAGGCTAGCGTCGTTATTTAGTTTGATCATCTGTTCGATCCATTTCTACGACGGCTGTATCAGCAAAGCAATCCTTTTGTTTTCCTTCTTTGTCTTACTTTCTATCAATCCATCTATCCATCTTTTTTCTACGTCCTTTTATTATACACTTCTCACACCTTCGAGACTCTTCGATCTCTTCCATATCTCTACTGGTGCTTCAAGCTTCAGTTTATTAATAGGATAGTACTCTCTCTCTCGCTCTCTCTCTCTCTCTTTCTCTCTTTCTCTTTCTCATTCTCTCTCGTACCCTCTTTCTAGTCTAGTCCTTTCTCATTGAATGATCCGCTGATTCTACCGGAGCTTTTGACTTCGTCGCCCTTTCTGATAGTTTTATACTCTCTCTTTCTATTTCTCCTCATTTTTTCTCTCTCTCTTTTTTTATTTTTTCTCTTCATTTTATTTCTTTTTCTCTATTTCTCTTTCTCCTTATTTTTTCTCTCTTTTCTATCTATCTCTTTCTCTTTATTTTTTCTCTCTTTTCTATCTATCTCTTTCTCTTTCTCTCTTTCTCTCTCTCTTTCTCTCTTTCTCTTATTCTACTTTTTTAGTTATTTCTTCTATCTTTCTCTTTCTCTTTTTCTCTTGTTCTTCCTTTTTGTTTACTTCTCATCTATTTTCTATCTGTCTCTTTCTCTCTCTTTTTATTTCTTATAGTTTTGCTTTTTAGTTGATTCAAAAGATGCTAAACACGAGATAAAGTCCACCGTCTTTCGATTACTCTCGAACCTCTCAATATGATACTTTCTTCATTGACAAAGTACGATAATCCAACCAAACTTTCATTTACCAAAGATGGCAAAGAAATTCTCCTAACCTTTTCTACGAAAGTAAAGAAAAGAAATCAAATCTATTAGATTTTTAGCCACAAAGAAATAAAACAAGATAGAAACAAACAAACGGAAAGAGTGAGAGAGAAATAGAGAGAATATTATAACGATGAATCTGTCTCGTTTTCAACATATATTATACCTTTCAGTTAGTAACCGAGTTTGTTTTCTTCCCATTTTTTTTCTATTTTTTATTTTTTTTCTTTTTTTTTTTGTATTTTTTTCACCATCCCATTACATTATTTTCGCAACCTCAGAGACATCGATCACTGTCCACTTATAAAGAAAGCCTAGCATGTACGTAGAAACTCTATCGAGTGCTTTCCATGGATAACGTCTACTGTGGATAACGATTTATTTTGCTTTAATATAATAATAATAATAATAATAATAATAATAATAATAAAAATTTATAAAAATTACAACAAAAATAAAAATAAAAATAAACGAGGATGGAGTAAAATAAAGATAAAGAAGGAATAGGATAGAAAAATATTTTCTCTTATCAAAAAATACGTACGGCTAATTAAAGAACGCAAAGAACTCTTCTCGGTATATCCCGTGCTTTAAAAAGAGAACTTATATCCTGTTTTTCTTGTTTCTTCTCTTTTTCTTTTTTCTTTTTTCTTTCTTTTTCATCGACAATAGCTCGTTACGTTGTTATGAAAGAAATTGGACAAAAAAAAAATAACTTTGGAAAAAAAATTTCAATTAATTTTACCGATACTAACGATTTCTAATTTTAGGTAAAAATTCTAGTTCTTTCTTTCCCTCTTTCTCTCTTTTTTTCGTCGAAATGTCTAATCGATTCTTTCACGGCTGAAAATAAGTATATTTTGTAAAAACAAAATCAAAAAAATAAGGATTTTTATTAGAAAGTAAAAAAAATAATAAAAAATAGTATAAAAATTGTAGCGAGTAAACAGTGGCCAGGATTCATTTTGTAATACGAATATAAATTCACCAATTTGGCCATTCGGTATGTTATTAACACGCGTGAATCATTTGCATTACGTATTCTCTAATGTCCTTGTAAATGGAATAATAATTTTTATTTTTATTTTTRTTGTAATTTTTATAATTTTTTTAATTATTACAAATTTGGTAATTACAATTTTGATTGAAATTACGATAATAATTATAATAAAAATTAATATTATTATTTTTTTTTTTTAATTTTATTATTTTTCTCCGATTCCTCGGGCATATCAGCATATCAGACAGGACTCTTGCCAGGTCTGACTGCTTTTATCTTCTGAGTTTAAGAAGGCTCTGGTTATGTTGCATGTTTTTAATATAACCGCCTTTTGTACTTCTTGATGTATATTTGGGTCTAGTTGTAGTTGTGTGAGATTTGGTTTAAAATTATTCGGTGTAATGCCTGTTGCAGATATGATGAAAGGGATGATGTGCACCTTTTTTTGTCTCCATATTCTGTGTATTTCTTATACAAGTGGTGTGTATTTTTCTATTTTTTCTTTGTATTTCTATATGATGTTGATGTCGTTTAGTACTAAGATGTCTATTAGGTATGTTGTCTTCTCTTCTTTGTTTGTAAATGTGATGTCAGGTCTGTTGTATTTTACTTTGTCTGTGTGTAGTGTAGTGTCCCATTATAGTTTGTATTTTTCGTTATCTATTATTGTTGTTGGTGTGTATTTGTAGTATGGTGTTGTAGTGTTCTCCAGTTTGTATTTGTTCACTATTGCTTTATGTATGATTTTTGCTGCCGTGTTGTATCTTTCCATGTATTCGGTGTTCGCTAGTATTTTACAACCTCCTGTTATGTGTTTTATCGTTTCAGCTACTAATTTACATTTCCGGCATTTATCATCTTGTATGTTTGTGTCTTGTACTATCTGTTTGAGGTAGTTTTTTGTTGAAATTACTTGATCTTGGATTGCGATTAGGAAACCTTCGGTTTCTGGGAAGAGGTTTCCTTTTTTTAGTCATTCGTATGTGTCGTTTTTGTTTATATTTTCATCTATAATGGTGTAGTAGTGTTTTCCGTGGAATTGTTTTGTGGCCCATGCGTTTATTTTGCTTTGTGTATGGTCTATGTCTTTATAGTTATCTATGTCTGTATTGCTTGTTGATAGGTTTAGTGGTGTATAATTTTTGGCGGCTTTCGTTAATGTTTCATGTAGTTGTGTTTCTTTTGTGTTGAAGTATTTGCGGAGTTTTTTTATTTGTCTATTGTGTAACGCTTTTATGTCCATTATTCCCCTTTCACCTTCTTCTCTACTTATTGTTAATCTCTCCACACATGATTTCGGGTGTAGTTTTAGTGACTTTGTCAGGTGTGTTCTCGTTATTCTATTGGTGTCATCTAAGTCTGTTTTTGACTAATTGATGATTCCGAAGGAATATGTAAGGACTGATATTGCGTATGTGTTTATTGCGTTGACGAGATTTTTTGAATTTAGTTTGGTTTTAAGTATTTTTGTGAGTCTTTATTTGTATTGTTTTTGTAAGTATTTTTTAATTTCTGTATGGTTTATCTTAATATTTTGTTCAAAGCCGAGGTATTTGTATGTTTCGTGTTTTTCTAAGTTTTGTAGTGTTTCGTTCTGTAATGTTCTTTGTGTATCGTCTGTAATTCATTGTCCTCTTTCAATATGTGTTGTTCTACATTTGTCTATTCCGAATTGCATTTTTATGTCAGATGTGAAATTTTCTGTGATTCTTAGAAGTGTGTTTAATTGTGTTCCTGTTGTTGCATATAGTTTTATGTCATTTACATACATTAGGTGATTTATTGTGTACTGTGTTTGTCTCTTATTTCTGATTTGATAGCCGTATTTAATTTTGTTTAATATTGTAGATAGTGGGTTTAGGCACATGTTGAACCATAGGGCACTCAATGTATCTCCTTGGAAGATGCCCTTTTTGATTTTTATTTCTTCCGTTTTTATGGTATCCATTGGTGTTTTTAATATAATTCTGGTTCTCCATGTTGACATGGTGTGTTTTAGGAATTGTTGTGTGTGTTTGTCTATTTTGTATATTTTCATAATTTCTATTAGCCATGTGTGTGGGACTGAATCGAAAGCTTTCTTGTAATCGATGTAACATATATGTAGGTTTCGCTGCTGTTTTCTTGCCTGGTTCATTATTATGCTGTCTATGATGAGCTCTTCTTTGCATCCTTGGCTGTTTCTTTTGCATCCTTTTTGTTCCTCTGAGATTATATTGTTTTTTGTGAGGTGTATTTCTATTTGCTGGCATATTGTACCTGTTATTATTTTGTATAGTGTTGGTAGGCATGTAATTTGTCTGTAATTTGCTGAGTTTTCGGTGTTTTGATTTTTGGGTTTTGCGAATGTGATTCCATCAGTTAGGAAACTCGGGAGTTCTTGGGGGTCTTCTATTATTTTGATGATCTGTTGTGTTAGATATGGGTGTGTAGTTGTAAATTTTTTGTACCAGTAGTTTTGTATGTGGTCTGGTCCTGGGTGTTTCCAGTTATGTGTGCTGCGCATTTTTTTTTTAGTTCGTCTTCTGTTATTTTGTATTCGGCTTGTTCTGGTGTGTCTTCATATTTTTGTTTCTCTTCTATTATTATCCATGTTGTATGTGTGTTGTGTTCTGTTGTGTTTGACCATGTTTATGTCCAGAAAGCGCTTATTTCTTTTTTAGTTGGTTGTATGGATCCTATTTCTTGTTCTGTGTTTAGTTTTCTGTAGAATGTTCTCTCACTGTTTAAGAATGTTCTGTTTTTGACTTTACTCTTATTTGATTCGTTACATCTTTTTAGTCTTGCTGCATATACGGCAAGTTTTTGTTTGAGTGTGTCTAGCAGCTGGTTAACTATGTAATTGTTGTTATTTTTGTCTATGAGTGTGTTAATGTATTTTGTTATGTTTTTTGACGTATTACCTTTCATTGCTTGTGTTAATCTGCCTATGTCTTTTCTTATAGTGTGTATTCTATGTTTATTTATGGTTTTTTGTTGGTTGTTCGGTGTCTCTTCTGGTATTTTTTGTTTATTCTGTTGTGTTGTTGTGATAGCTGCTGCATATAGCATCATGTGTATGTCTTGTATTGTCGTATTTTCATTTATGTGTTGTGCTAATACGTTGTTTATGGTGTTTATTATATGCGTTGTGTTTTTTTTTTGTGTATTAGTTATGGTATTCTATTTCTTTTAGTAGGGTCACTGTTTTTCCAGATTATTATGTTGGTTTGTAGTGCTCTTTGGATCTCTATTGTATCGTTTTGATTTGTGTTTTCTTGTATCTGTCTTTCTCGTGTTTCTTGTGTGGTGTCGTGTTGTTGGATATTCCTGTTAGTTATTGGTTGTGTTTCGCCGTTTATTTTGCGTTCTGGATTTTGGTGTTGCCAGTCTTGTTCTGTGGGGTGTATGTTTGTTGTGTCTTGGATTGCTGGTTCGCTTAGTTCGAGTACTACTGCTTCTTTGATTATTTGTAATTCGCTTGCTAGTATTCTGTTGTTTATAAGAATTGTTCGTTTTTGGTCTATTATTCTTTGTTCTGTTATGTGTGGTTCTAATTCTGGGTGTCGTGTTGTGAAAAGTCTGTGCATTTCTGTTCTATATCCTAAATCTATCGTTTCTATTTTTGTAGCAGTGTAGCAGCAACGCATGACGGTTCTGTTCATCTCATCTGACCATTTTATGCGTTGTCTCTGTTTGCCAGTTTTGGTGGTTGCAGATAGTGTCTGCAAAGCATCCATTGCTGGGTTTGTGGTGTTTTGTTTTGAGTGGTGTTGTTCTTATGTTCTGTTTGTGTTTCTGTTTTCGTTTTCGGTTTCGGCTGTATCATTTTCGGGTTGCCCGACAATGTCCCGTCTGTTCGGACTATTGTCTCCGATGGTCTGTATGCTGCTATGCCCAGCATCAGCTCCAGGGCATGCCCTGGCGTTCTCCAGGAAGCGGCTTTTTTCCGAGGCGTTTTTTACTTCTTGTCTCCATTTTTGGGTTTTACTTTTAGTCGCCTTTTACGACAGGCAGAAAATACCTTGGGTCTATTCTAGAATAGAATATATAATAATATATTCTAGAATATATTATTATAATATATATATTATAATAATAGAATTATAATATATTATTACTATTATATAATTATAATTATTATTATATAATATAATATTATTTATTATTATATAATTATTATTATATAAATATTATTATATAAATTATTTATTATTAATATAATATAATTAATTATATTATATTATTATATAATACAATAATATAATATAAGTGCTTATAAATAAATATAATTATTAATATTATATAATTATAATTATTATTATTATCAGTGAAATGAAATAAAGAACCACAAAAGAATAAATGCAAGTAAATTCTTAAAACTTTTATATAGCAATATTTTTTTATAATAAAATACGATAATATCATTAACTATTATACCCACGTTTCTTTCGATAATGATTATTAAAAAATTTTGTCTTAATATTTGCTCTTTCTCTCTCTCTCTCTCTCTCTCTCTCTCTCTCTCTCTCTCTCTCTCCGTGCTATTTAATTTCTTTTCTTCACCCCCTGCTTCTTTTTCTTAATGTTTCACCCTTTTACCATTACTGTAGATTTACCTAATGGAAAGAAGTAAAGCTGTAAGCTCGCTTTAAGCAAGAAGAAAAAAGGTATTATGACAATAGTGCATTATGTCTGCTAATTATTTTAAGAATTAAGGCTTACTAAAAGCTTAAAGAACTGCTAGCGAGCCTAAGCGAGTTTCAAATAACTCGTGTAGTATAAAAAAGTTAATGTTGAAATAATAAAGGAAAATTTATCAAACGAAATGAAAATATTATACTTGTATCGGTTTCGTGATCAAATTTTAACGAGCACAACGTAGTTTAATATTCAAAAATAATATATACGAATTCATGAAAGTATTACAATCGAGAATAAGAAAAAACAAAAAGTAAAATTTATACGAAAGTATATGAATATACTTGAAGATCTAACATAAAAGTATATAAGTAAGATCACCCACCAATCGTGAAAGTTCACCAAGCACACTGAGTGAGATTTTCATGAATAACAAATAATAGAGGTTGGTTGGCTGGGTGGTTGGCTAGCTAGCTAGCTAGCTGGTTGGTTGGTTGGCTGGCTGGTTGGCTGGTTGGCTGGCTGACTGGCTGGCTAGCACGATATCGAGAAGAGGTAATTTATCTTCGTAGAATGAATCCAAAGAAAATAAGGAAAGTAAGGAAAGTAAGGAAAGAAAGAGGGATCGACGATGGGGCTTCACTTACCTTTCCGGAGCCTCTCGAGTTGCAGAGAAGTACCCCAGCTGCGTGTATTCTGTACTCCTTATCGAGCTGTTCGTGCTGTCCTTGAATCTTCCTGCGAAGCAGTACAGATAGATAAGGATTAAAGATTAAACTGAAATGTGCCTATACTTTTGCACAATCTTACTTCATTTTCTCATTACAAAAAAAAAAAAAGAAAACATACTTGAGAGTAGAGAATTTTATTTGTTCAATTCAATTCTTTCGTAGCAAATTCGGGAAAGTATAAATAAACAGAAACTTCGTATACTAAAATGTTTTTATTGCACTTTGTTCAAAAAGAAAAACCTTTAGATTATTTTCTTCTTCTTCTTCTTATTCGAAGAGGGAGGAAGAATAAAAATAGATTATGCTCGATAAAGATATAAGCAAGCAAGAAGTAAAGAAAAATTACCGGTTTGCGAAAAAGATGGTAAACGTACGTTGGGAAATATTTTCTTTTGAAAGTTTTCGCACTCGAACGAGCAAGAAGGATTCAAGGGATGCTGATGAAACGTCGCAACTAGGGTCGACTCTACAGCCCATCACCACCACTACTCTCCCTCCCTACAACAGACACCGATTTTCTTTCGGATTCGAGGAAGGGAAAACGACCTGAAGGCCGCCAAATAACGAGCAGAAGATGGCACACACCTACGGTCCACTGACACATTTTCCAAGCGGTTTCCTTACTGCTGACTTAGGAATTGAAAAAGTTCCAGATGGAGGAACGCTGCACTGGAACTTCAGCAATTACTAGAGAGACCAAACAATCTTATAAATTCATAATGTGGTCTATGCTAAGGAGAGAAAGAATAAAAGTGGAAAAAATGAAGAAAGAAGATAGATAAGAAAGAAAATCGATTATTTGAATGATTGAAAATATTTTCTCTCTATTGCACCCTGTTTAAAAAACCGTTCGAAATGCTATGAACGCGATTAGAATCACAAAGTAGTATTTGTCTGGATAAAATTAAGATAAACGTCTTATCGATTATTATCCCTTTTTTATTAAATTTAATCGTCTTTTATAACACGATCTAATAAATATGCAAAAGTTCATCCCCCCTTCAACATTTTATATCAGCCAATATAATGGAAAACCTATACAACTTTTTCCTAATAAATATCCAACGAAAGTTACTCGTTTAAAGCGTAAGCCGTTAATTGAGTGCAGTTATTTTTTTAATATCGAATAGGATTACGTATTCGTATTCTTAATCAAATATTTCAGAGTATATCCCAACGATTTAAATGTTTTAAAAAATATTTTAATTTTATTTGCGTAAGAAAAGTTACGTAAAAATTGCATAGTTTTTTTTTTTTTTTTTTCAAAAGTATACAACTTCTGTTAAATTAATTCTATACAAACAAACGTTTGAAATATTTACAAAAATAATGGCATTTAATAAAAACAATTTATGTAATAACTATGACAAAAAGTAAAGTTAATTTGTTAGACAAAATGTATAAAAATAATTTTTGCTACTTTTTCTTTTTTTTATTTACATACATACGATATTCGTGGTTTTTTTCTGCGAACTAATTAGTGTACCTTTTTTCTCGACTGTATAAATGTAAATAAAACATAATAAATATACTGTGTAACCTATAAGAATACTTTGAAATGTTCAAACGAACGATACTTAATTTTTCTTTATTGGTTGACAATTTTTTAATGTAAATTACAAAAAGTAAATATTTTCCATTATTTATAGATGATTATTTGAACTTGTTAAAAAAATGTCTTTATCATGAGGTATTGCATTAAACAAAAATCTATGAAATAAGCAGATTATTTTGTCGGATAAAACTTTAATAACGTCAAAGTAGAAGCGCAAAAATTGATAAAGTCTATTATCCTATTATAAGAATATTGAAATATTAAAGAACGTCAGTTTCGTTTTTATGAGAAGAAATAGATCGGAAATATTAGATGTTATCGTTCCAACGAGACAGTTTTCATTCGTCATACAGTAGTATGAGTCAATCAATTGTCAGTCGTCAATATTACGTTCGAAAAATTGGTCGATTGTTTCGTTTAACATTTTTTCACGAATCAAATCATTTACCTATCATCGATATTTATTCTTCAACAACGAAAAGATATTTAAAAATACTAAAGAATATAAAATTATCTCGGGATATTAAAGAAAAAAAAGGAAACCTTTGTCTCGTGTGGAATATAAAAAAAGACGAGGATAGAAATAAATTGTTTTCTAAGAACGTTAATAACAATTGCACACTCATGTATGAATAAATTTATTCGATTTTTCAAATTAACGATGGAAAAATTGTTAAAAAAAGAATCTTTAAAGGTAGTATAGTTTTAAAAAAGTGGTTTTAATGAGAATTTCTTACTGTCATAGTAGAACCAAAGAACCCCGACACCGCCCAAGTAGTCCTGCCATCTACAAAGAACTCACAGAACACGCTAAATATGTAAGAGTGGTTGTGCAAACAACATTGCTGAAGTACAAACTAAGGAGGAAAAGAACGAAAGAACGAATGAGTGTAAGAAAAAATAAGAAAGAGAGAAGAAAGAGAGAAGAAAGAGAAAGGAAAGAGAAAATAGGTTGAAGGAAACTTCAGATCATGCTGACCTACACTTTTTCACTGACAACTTGTTCCTTTCAATGCGGGACGTTATAATCGACTATTCTATTTCCAAGGTACAAATCTCGTCGTACGTTTTAAATCCAAGAAAAATCTCTACCGTCGAGGCTAATTTCCTGATAACTTTTCTAAAATAAATACTCCTTCTTTATCCTTTCACATTACTAAAGGGAACAACTCTCCTTTCGTTAGTTTAATCTCATATAATTAGGAGAAAGAAAACCTTGCGACATTTCGAGAATGTACGTAGAGCATTATTTAATATCCTCGCTGGTATGATCAGATTTTGTACTTTCATTTATACATAAAAGAGAGAGAGAGAGAAAGAAAGAAATAAAGAAAGAGAGAGAGAGAGATAAAAGAGTAATAAATCTTCAACGAGTTAATCCTTGCTCCCATTGGAACAGAAAGCAAATCTGAGAAGGTAAAACTTCACGGATGACCTAATGTTGCCTCTCATAAAAATATAATGTTCGCAAAAGACTTCCTTACTCTCTCATTCTCTCTTTCTTTCCTTCTTTCTTTCTTTTCTCTCTCTCTCTCTCTCACTCTCTCTCTCTCTCTCACTTCGTACCTTTAAAAACTTTGCAAGGTTCTTCAATGGATTCGTTACTTCGATTTATCTTTCGTGAGACGTATAAATGTAAAAGTTTCTCTAACTTTTTTGAAAAGAACTTACAAAATTTCTTCTCTCACGAATGCCTAATTGAATGCTATTATTAATTAGTTCATTAATCTTGAAACAAAAAAAGAAATTTCTTTGATCTTATCGATATAAATTGGGGAGAAAAAAGAAACTCCTTAATATTGTTACGTTTAAA